CTGGGCCTTGACTCTGCGCTCTGAGGGCGTCGGGAGGGTCCGCGCTCGGATACGGTGTTAGCAGCAAAGCGCTGTGAGCCCGCTGGGGCTAGATCGGTCTTCTTCCAGTCATTAGATTGACGTTAGTAGGAGCCTGGAGATCGTGCTCTCCCCTGATCTTTGCTAACTGAGAGAGGAGGAACAAGCAGGGTGTTTAAAAAAAAAAAAAAGCTGCTTTTCCTAGGAAAAGAAGGAAACTCTCACCTGCAGAGATCTGCCTTCAAGAAAGCACCGAGATGCTGCAGCTCTGTCTCTTCCCTGTCGTGGGAGCCTTGCTGATGCTGGTGGTTGCGGGAAGAGGGAGCCATTTAGCTAGATTTATCCTGCTGGGCTCTGGTTCCCATCGCACTGAGTCAGACCAGGCATGCTGGGTCGGGAAGGATGTTCCTCGGTGCTCAGCGAGTTCCTGCCTCACACCCGCCCTCTGCCCTCGGGCACTCCCTGGTTAATCCCTTTCTGGGAAGTGGGGAAAAAACGAACCTCTCGGTTTGTGTTCTGGGAGTCTCCAGCCCTCAGGGTCAAGATGTCAAACTCTCTCACTAGCCCACACGGCCGGAGGGTCAGGGCAGCGACGCTGCTCGGGCAGAGGGAGCCAGTGCTCCACTTAGAACTTGCTGCTCGCCACGCCTCCACCTCTTGAAATCAGCCAGAGGCCGCGTCAGCGTAGCAGCGAGCCTGGGCACGGGTGCCAGCCCGCCAAAGCAGCTGCTGCATGCTCTGGTGACCCCAAGCCTCCGGGCAGCCTGGGACCGTGTGGGTCTGTGCTGTTGCTGACCCCTTTGTGTCCTAGTGCTAACTCATCACTTTTGCTCCAGTTCACAGCAAAGCAGTTGGAGAAGCTTGCCAAGAAAGCTGAGAAAGACTCCAAGGCTGAGCAAGCCAAAGTCAAAAAGGTAGGTGAGAGGTTGCCGTGTGCGCAGAGCTGCTGGTGCCTTCTGCTGGGCCTGGTCCTCCAAGCGAGGCCCTGTCACCTCTGGCACTGCCATACCAGCGGTGCCAGCCCTCCTCACTGCGAGCAGCTGGAAATCGTGCCTTGCCTTCTGCCCTGCCGGGTGTGTGCTGTTAGGGACTAGAGGAAATGGGCAGCCTTCCCTCTCCAGTCCTTGGTGTGTGCCAGGTTGGTCTCAAAATGTTTTAAGTCCTGCCCTTTTATCTTGACTCCGTCAGGAATGGACGTCATACATCACTGGCATAACTGGAAAGAACTTAATTCCTTTCCAAGGGTGTGTTCAGTATTTATAGGGGTCACGAGACGTGTTTCTGCCTTTCTTCTGTCAGGCAGAAATGGAAGATGCTTGTTTATGAAATGTGAAGTGGATTGTTTGTGCAGACAGTTGCTCTTCGCTCTTCCAGGCTCTCCAGCAGAAGAACGTGGAATGTGCTCGTGTCTACGCAGAGAATGCAATCCGCAAGAAGAACGAGGGGCTCAACTGGCTTCGCATGGCTTCCCGAGTGGATGCGGTGGCCTCCAAGGTCCAGACAGCAGTGACAATGAAGGGGGTAAGAGCCTCTGTTGCTTGGGCTTGGGGCTCTGAGACTGATCTGTGCCCCGCAGAGAGCGAATGTTGCTTCTTCCATTCTGCTTGCCTACTTCCAACCTTCTTGGACCTCCCTGTCCCTGAACAAGGGTCTGATGAAGCCCTATAGTTAGTTCAGACCCTCAGACTGGTGCAGCCTCTGAAACACCCGGGTAGGTATCTAGAGTAACTGTCTGTTGTTCGACAAACCTGCAGCCAGGCTGAGCTTACAAAGTGACTGTCTGGAGAGCTGACAGCAGCATGTGTTTGTGAGCAGGCAGAGCTTGTCCTGCCTTGTAGTGCTGGCAAGAGCATCAGTAATGCTGACTTCTCTCTCACTGGGCCCAGGTTTTGCTTTCGGTGGTGATGAGATCTTGCTTTTGAGGAGCATCCATAAAACAATTTCCTCTTGCAGGTGACAAAAAACATGGCTCAGGTGACCAAGGCCTTGGACAAGGCTCTGAGCTCCATGGATCTGCAGAAGGTGTCTGCAGTGATGGACAAATTTGAGCAGCAGGTCCAGAATTTGGATGTTCATACATCGGTGAGTGCTCGTGGCCTCAGAGAGGTCCGTGAGGACTGGAAGCTACTGGGTTTGGGAGGAGGGCTTGTCTCATGCAAGATCTGTGAACTGCAGTGTCATGCTGCCTCTGAGGAGAGAGCTAGGTCTCAGTTGTAACTCAGGCTTGCAGAGAAGCACTGTGTTCCCCTTGGAGACACCAGGGTACAGTGTGGGAAAACACATGTGGTGTTCGTGTGGTTCTGTTTTGTGTATGAGATGGGCAGGACTAGGCTCTGCTGCCTAATGAGGAAGGCGTTTGCCATGTGAAGAGGCACATTAGGCAGAAAGGAGGGAAGAGGCAAGATCACTGTCCCTGTATCGTAGCTAGAGGTTACCCAGACTGGGTCTGGCAGAACTGGACCTTGCACCCTGCCTTTCATTGTAGCTCTGCTGACAGGCTTGAGGCTGCAGAGACCATTTGGGTTAAGGGAACCGGTGGCCCCTAAGGGGTCTGCAACTGGTTCTTTAGGTGAAGAAGCTAGGCATGGGCTGGGCCAGGTGGTTTTGCCGGTGGGGCAGGGTGACATGCTGTCTCCATTGCAGGTGATGGAGGACTCCATGAGCTCTGCTACCACGCTGACCACCCCGCAGGAGCAGGTGGACAGCCTCATCGTCCAGATCGCAGAGGAGAACGGCCTGGAGATCATGGACCAACTCAACCAGCTCCCTGAGGGTGCTTCGGCTGTAGGGGAGAGCTCAGTCCGCACTCAAGAAGACCAACTCTCGCGAAGGTTTGTTCTCTTCCAGATCCTTTGCTGTGCATCAAGGCAACTTCAGTTCTTCCCAGGAATCCCGCACTGACAAAAAGGGAATGGGTTTGCCCAATGTGGGAGGCTGAGCAAGTGCTGAGCCCCCTCTGGACCCTGGCATGCTCAGGCAAGCCAGAGCCAGGCAGCCCCCACGGTACTTGGGGAGGGTGCAGGCAGGCAAGGTGGCATTCAGGGCTGTGGCCACCAGGGCCCGGAGGTGGCTTCTGGCGCTGTGTGGTGAGCGTTCGTTGATTTGGCACGAAACAGTCTCCCCCTGCTCTGTGCTCACCCTCACGCAGCTGCTGCTGCTCTGGGAACGCTTGGCACTGACCTTCAAACAGCTCCAGGAACAGGCTGTCTCTCTGGAACTGCCCCAGGAGAAGCTGATGAGCTTCCTCTTCCCAGTCCCTCCCCACTGCTCCCCATGCAGCCCCAATTGAGATCCATCTGGCAGTGAGCCCCGAGGCAGTGAGCATCCGCGTGCTGCAGGAGCCCTCGCCTTGGAGGTGGGAATGGCCCTGGGAGAGGGACCGGGCTGGCTGTGGTCATGAGGCACCCAGAAGAGAAGCTGGGAACCCTTGTTCTGCAGCACCTCAGCTGCATTGATGAGAGATTGCCCCAACAAGCACAGGCAGTGCCACAGGCAGTTATGGCTGTGTGCTCCAGGGCAGGATCTCCTGCATCTCTGCCGTGGGAGGATGGATTCTGAGCATATATTCTGATTTCCATATTCTGATGGATATCTTCTCTGCGCTCACTGGCTGAAGGGTCTTTGTGACTCACGGCTGTTTCCTGCTGCTCTCGTGTCGGTTCATTCTTGTTTTCTCCCTTCCAGGTTGGCTGCCTTACGAAATTAAGGTCTCCCATCATCCCTGCGGACTGCTGCCTCACACTAGTTGTATGGTGTGTGGGGGTGGAGGGGGCCCTGGGACTCCTTCCCCACAGCCTCTGCTACATCCTTGCTCTGACCAACTAGCCAGGCAGAGCTGACCAACCCCTCCTTCATCAGCACGTTCCCAGCCCTGCCTGGCTCTGGTTAGACCCTTCTTTTATGATGTGAGGCTGGCGACTTCTCCCAGAGCAGGCAGAGATGCTGGCGGGGGTTTGCTGATCAAACGCAGCCTTGCTCTGGCTTGGAAAATACTTTGCCGGTTCTGATTTCAGGGTGTTTTTCCTTTGAGGGGTGCTGCTGATTTCTCACAGCATTCCAGGGCTTCTGGATGAGAGCAACATGCTGCTCCAGATTTAACACTAAATGAGTCTTTCTGGAGGTTGATTGCAGAGTCTTCTCGGGTGCTGGTGCCTGACTCCTCCCCACGTAGCACACTTTCATTACCTATTTTAGACTGGGCCTCTGAGCTGTGGGCAGCCCCTTCCTAAGGACTCGCAGCCACTAACTTTATATGGAGCAGGGAGAGACGTAGGAATTCCTTTTGCGTTGCAGTTGGCTGGGAAGGGGACTCTGGCCTGGGTTGTCTTCCTGCCTGTGGTGTTCTGGGAGGGTTAGTGCCTTGCCAGAAGGTGTGGTTGTGCCATGGTGTCTCTTTTGCTAGCAGTGACCTTCCCAAGCCATCGTTAATGCAGTTTACAGCCATCAGTTGGTGCCCTGTTTGCAAACTTTACCTTGCCAATTGCTAACTCTTGGTGGGCAAATCTCCCTGCATCTCTTTGCCACAAAGTGACCTTTAAAACGTTTGACCTGCCCTGCACAAGCATGAGTTTGTTTGTGTTTAAGTATAAATCCACACGTTCGCTATCTGCCAACTGCTGAGCTGTGGAAGTGTTTTCCAGGCAGTGACCTCCCATGTAGCCTGACATCCAGCAACTGGGACTAAATCACAGCAACTTCCACTCCTGGGCTAGGAGCCATGGTGACAACAGCCTTCCCCAGCCTTGTTCCTAAATATCTCCCAGGAGGTTGGGTGTGACCGTGAATGGCAAACCATCCTGACAGCGTGTGTCCCTGCGCTGTCCCCTCGCTCTGGCTTGACCCTTGGATATCTCTGCTGCCTTTTCCTCTCCACTGTCCCCACCTCGTCAGTTGATAACGCCGTGCAGGAGCTGGCACGGTGCCATGCGTGCTGACAGCGCCGAGCTGTGCTGTGTGCAGCTTAGGCTGTGCGGCCAGTCCTGCTACAGCAGGGTGGGTATGATTCATCAGAGTTTTCTGTTCAAAGAATCAGTTTTTAAGGGAATTTGAAGTCGTGCACAGCTGCTGCTTTGGGCTGTGCTCCAAGTAGGACCCTTTGCCGCTAATGGAAGGGAAAAGCAAGTGTTGGGGGGAAGGGAGAGTGGCCCAGTGCAACCTCCAGGGGCAGCGGATGCCCCGCTCCGGCTGTGCGCCGCTCTGCCTGCGGGCTGCCTGCGGCCAGAGGCCGACCGTGCAGCACCTGTAGCAAAGACACTTTTTGCTCCCTTGGTTGTTTCTTAGGAGTTCAGTGGCCTTGGCAGTAGGTGTCCCATGGCCTAGAGAGCATTCTTCCCCTGTGCCCGCTGCAGCGGGGAAGCACCGCAGGGCAGTCCTGGGCGGGCATTGCTGGGGACCGCAGCCGGGAGCGCCCCTCCTACGGGCCCGGGAGCAGCCGTTGGGGTGCTGGCGGGGCTGGCGGGCGCCCCGCCCCGCGCCAC